AAGAGATAAGTTCGAATTTATTAAGACTGATTTTTTTAGCACCTGATTTTGTCAAGTCTAAGGTGCATGTCCCCACTCTGCGCAAGCATTCCACACAGTTCAAATAGCATATCCCCAGTAGGCTAATGGCCATTGACTTTGAGAGCAATGCATGATGTGTAGCTAACCCACAGTTCCTTCATCCCTTTGCTTTCTGGCTTATGCTATAAGTTCGAATTTATTAAGACTGATTTTTTTAGCACCTGATTTTGTCAAGTCTAAGGTGCATGTCCCCACTCTGCGCAAGCATTCCACACAGTTCAAATAGCATATCCCCAGTAGGCTAATGGCCATTGACTTTGAGAGCAATGCATGATGTGTAGCTAACCCACAGTTCCTTCATCCCTTTGCTTTCTGGCTTATGCTTCTTCTAGATTCATAGTTGGAGTGTATATCCTTAAAACTGATTTTATAGTTAAAAGATTTGTTTTATTACTGCATTACCTTGAAGCACTTGGAAAAATCTTATCTTAATTAAAAATGAACCACATCTTCACTCCGTGGAAGATTGACATTGCCCCAATCAATCTTCTGGCGTTTGATTTAGTGATTCTAGCTAAGACTCACTAAATCAAATTCAGAGGATGCCCCCGCCATCTCCAATACTCCCTCTTGCTAGAAGTAAGGGAAGCTGATAGGAGTGTTTGCTCCCATCAGCCTCCTGTTGTAGGAATATTGCCAAGCTCATCTTACAGTAGCCAACTCCAGCTATGTAATCTATGTAGCCGGAGTTGTGTACCTTAAGCCAAGCTGACAGGTCTAGTGTAGACTTGGCAATAGACTTCCAAAACAGCTGGAGGTATTTAAGAAGGCATAGGGACATGCATTTGTTAAATAAAAAATATATTTGATGTATGGGACATGACATTGTGAACTCCTACCATTGAAAATACTACTTCGCAGTGTGTATCAGGTTTGCAGGAGGAAGGTCAGATTAACTCACCAATCTGGGACCCTCTGGGTGAAGATAAATTAGCATAGACGTTAAAGGATGAGGTAGGTCCTTATTAGAATCAGTAGGGTATCTTCTGGTTTTCTTTATTTCAATATTCTCTCAAGAAAAGCTTTCATTAAAGAAGGGCCTAAAAAGAGATAATTAAAGGCATATGCATTAAAGGTGCTGATACTTCCACCAGTATTCAATTTCATCATGATTTGAACTTAAAGCTTCTGTGATTAGGTAGTGCTTCCGCCAGGACAAAAAGTTATCATACTTTTAGAAGTGTATGCTGCTTGGTGCCACAAGATTACAACTGGAAAGTAGTGAGCATTTGACTATAGGTAGAGCCCGTTGTGCATTAGAGTGTTTGATGTGGGGAACCATGTCCCAAAGTAGCCTTAGGTCCTTTTCTATGTCAGAGGCAATAAGTGTCAGAAACTGCTTTTATACATCAGCTATCTCCACATTAAATTCATCTATCCCTCTCCTTTTGTTGTTTTGAGGATACTTGTATTTATACTGTAATTTGTAGTCAACTATGCAAAGAATTTTTAGAAACATGCTGTTGTATGTTCCAAACTACTTGCTAATTGCACTGCTGTACAATTCTTGACAGTCTTCTCCATATTATCAAGTCATTTTGAACTATTCCTTTCTGCAGTTCTCTGGTTTCAAGCTAATTTTGCATCAGTTCCTTTACTTCTCATTTCAATCAACTATATGGCGGAGGGAGGAGGGGAGGCAATTTAAATATGTGAGTCATGTGGAACAAATATGTCATTAACAGTTCCAGATACATGCAGAGACGTTATAGGAAGCTGCCATAAGCTATTTCACCCCACTGTCCCCAGAACTAGTGACACTAGAAACAGTGAGAGAATGCTTTTCTTAGCTATGTATGACATCTGAGAGTGGGATGTGCTTCCATTCATGTGCTTGACCTATGGAGAACAATAATTATGAGCCTGCTTTATAGAAAGAACAGTAGTTATGGACCCAATGAAAAAATTGCTGGATGGATTCTATGATTTGTATTATGTAGAAGATCAAAATAGATTATCATAATGGTCCATTGGGTCATAAAAATCTATGAATTCTTGACAGATGCACAGTATTGGGGTGCCCTTTTGTGCACTGTGGCGGGTTTACAGGTGCGAGCTCCCACTCTCCTGCAGGAGGATGGGGCCCAGCGAGCCCACTGTCTTAAAAGTCTGGGGAAGAGGGGGAAATCACTGGGGTCTCTTGGCCCCTAAGGCCACCCCTTCTTGGGACACAATAGTGATAGTATCTGCCCTCGAGGCCAATTGGCCGACAGTGCTCCGTATACGACTAGAGTGCAGTGTGTGGGAGGAGGGGATTTAGGGGGACCCAGGCCCTCTCTCTCCACCGGGTCCCAGCCCGGTGCCCTAAGGGTTCAGGGTGTTTGACTCCTACCTGGCTGACGGGGTTCCACCCCAAAGCGTGTCAGCCCACGGGCGCCAAAAGCACTCTGCCCCAGGCTGCTTCCTATCCCCCTCCTGCACCGTGACCCCTCTGGGTTCTTCCCGGACGCTTACCGGTCCACTGCCTCCTCCAGTCCCTTCGTCGCGATACCGGACTCCTGGGGAACACTGACCACTTCTCCACCAGGACGGAGTAAAGCACCCCCATCAAAGCGTTCAGCAGTTCCTGCCCTCTGAGCCGCCCCGCTGCCTTCCCCCGGGGGCCTTTTCAAATGACCCACTGCCGGACACACTGGGATGTTGCCCCGCCCCCTCTGCGTCCCTCTGCGCAGAGGCGTTGCGGGCTTGTGGCGGGGCCCCGCCCTCGTGTGCCACAGTTGTCTGTTGGCAGCACAGCCCCAGCAGGTGCCGGCTGCTCCTCTCTGGCTCCACGTCGCCCTGCCCCCTTGCTGGCAGCAGGGCCGGGGTCCCGCCGCACTTAGTGCGGAATTCAGGGAGCCCGTATCACGGGCTTCTGGGAGCCCATCATCACGGGCTTCTGGGAGCCCATCACGTGCACTTTAACCTAACTGTCCAGATAGTCAGTTAGATAAGCTAGGGATGTGCTGGAAAATTAAATGGACACTAAAAATCTATTTGCAATTATAATTTTAACCTGAAGTTCGTAATGAGCTCTGGGACTGAGATGTGGACTCATGTACAATTTATAAGGTGCCCTGGGGATAAAACTTCAGACTTAGATTATGTAACACAGTATTTGCATTATTTTGGATAGCACTCTGGAGACTGATGTTCTTTATGTTGATTTTCCTTCTTCCCTACTCCCCCCGTCTATTTCTTATTTAAAAAACAAACAACTAGAAAATTCTATACAAATGCTATGTTTAAAAAAATGGATCAAGCAAGAGTGCTTGTAAGTTCTAGCTTGTAGAATATATTCATTTTATTTTTTTAGTTTTGGAATAATAGTTTCTTAATATTAATTTTATAGTACCTGGATAGACCACTTATCCCAATATGCTATGGAAAACTTTCTGCGGGCTGCAGAAATGGGAGAAGAGTTAAATGAGGCCTGGATGGTTCACAATGCAGTGGTGTATATATTAAATCACAATAAACATCTTATAGCTTCAGGAAGACAGCGAGAGATTGTTGAGTCCCTGCAGAGTCTTCTCATTGCAATGAAGAATACTGGACACAGTGGGTAAATATGATGGTTGAGTTTGATTTTGACTTCCCTCTTTCCTATTATGTCTTTTGTGAAGCTAAAAATAAATTTGATTTTTTTTCACTAATATCATAAATCATTTTTTCATTGTGTCATATTCCAGTAGCACTCAAGAAATGTTGTTAGTGTTTTATTTGATTGGGACTAAGTGCTGCTTTGATTTATGCATGGATATTTGAGATGGTATAGGGGTTTGTTGGTTTAAAAATGAAGTCCCCCATTCTATCATTCACTCTACCTTATTAAACCCTATTAAAAAGTGACTATTCAAAGCTGATATGGTATTTTTAGTTTGGAGTAGCTACATGGGAACCTGCAGTAGCTGCATTTTCTGTGACTAATCAAAAGGAAACCTATACTTGACATGCTGTCTTGACAAAGCAGAATGCTCTGAAGTGTATTCACTTGATGGCCATTTCTCTCAAATGTAATAAATTCTATTAATTGTAAATGTTTAATAATACAAGTGAATCTGATCTATTATTTTCTACTAGTATGAGAACTTTGTAAAATTTAAAGGGGGGAGGGAGTGAAAGTAAAAGGAAAAATACACAGTAATTGGTTCCAATTCAGGGATGACAAGTTCTGGTACAAAGAAACGCATCTTGCTGCTGAAACTGAAAACTCAAGAATGGGAGTGATAAATTTAGCAATTAAAGGTTTATACAATATCGGCACGTTTGAACTTTGGGTATTTTTGAAAGAGGATCTTCCAATCTCACTTTCGAAAGAGGATCTTTTGAAAGTGAAAGTACTCTGGATGCATTGGTATTAGAAAATAAACCCTTTGTCGAAAAAACCCTTACGCGTTTTTTTTTTTTTTTTCAAAAATGGGTTTTCCCCCCCAAAAAATGCTTCCAGGTACCAAATTCGAATTTGGTAAACCTCATTCTACAAGGAGTAATGCCAAATTCGAAATAGCCATTTCGAATTAAGTGCTGTGTAGACACTTAATTCAAAATAGGGAGCCTCCAGCCCTTCCCAGGGAGCCCTGGTAGCCACTCTGGCCACAACCAGGAAAACTTACTCTCCTCTCCCCCATCCTCAGAGCCACTAAAGGGGTAGACCCTGGCCACAGTGCCTGTGCCAGCTCCAATCCTGTCAGCCCAGAGCCAGCAGTGGCCACCGGGGCCCCTGACTGTAAAGAGCTTCAGAAGGATCTCACAAACTAGGTGGCTGGGCAGATGTGGTTGCCTTATCTCAAAAAAGATCTCTTAGCATTGGAAAAAGAGCGGGCGCCTCCCTGGTCCAGGGCGGAGATCATGGACCTTATTCAGGTTTGGGGAGGATGCCCCCAACTTCCATGAGCTTCGCACTAGATGGAGGAATGCAGTCGTCTATGGCAGGATAGATGCCAGCCTGGCCACCGAAGGCCACATGCAAACCCAGGAGCAGGTTTGCATGAAAATCAAGTTGGTCTAGCAAGACCCCCCAACCCTGGGCCCTGACCGGTTTGCATGAAAATCAAGGTGGTCCAGCAAGAACCCCAACCCTGGGCTTTCAGATTCCCCTCCCACTTCTTCCACTTTGTTCCCCCTTCCAGCTCCCTCCTCCCTGGTTTCCCCCTCCCCTCTCCCACCCTCTCTCTTCACCTCTCCCACCTCCTTTTCTCAGTCTCCCCAGAGGTTCATCCCTCCTCCAGTTTTGTTCAATAAACCCAGTTTCTATTTTTGAACATATGTGTCTTTTATTTGACATCAGGAAGGGGGACTAGGGAGGAATAAGTGGAAGGACGTGAGAGAGGAATGGGGCATGAGCCCCTGGTAAGGAGGACTGGGGTGGCTCTGAGGGCTCCTCGGGGTGGACGCTCTCCCGCAGGGCCTCCTGGCTCCTGACAGCCCCCCCAATAGACCCGCCCCCGATGGCAGCCTGCAGCAAGTGCAGCCAGGCTGATGGCAACGACCCCACGAGACACACTGGCATGTCCAGGGTCAGCTCTGGCTCCATGTGGCCACGTGCTGTGGTGTCCCAAGTGCGGGCACTCCAAGACAGGACTACTTTGCTGTCCCTCCTGGAGGTAGACAAGCAAGCAGGGAACCCTGAGAACTGTCTGTCCAGGGTGGGGGTAGGGTCCCTTTAAGCACGGAGCTCAGTTAGCCTCAGGCATCAGCCCAACACACTAAGTCTTAACATGATGCCCTGCTGACACTGGTTCCAGCCAGCCTTAACTTCGGTTCAGGGTCCACTCAGTGTGGACACGCTATTTCAAAATAGCAAAACGCTATTTCGAAATAGATTTTGTGTGTAGATGTGTTAATTCAAATTAGCTTAATTTGAATTAACCATTTTGAATTAAGTTAACTCAAATTAACACTGTAGTGTAAACATATCCTTAGGGTGCATCTACACAGCAGGGCTTAACTCGAAATAAGCAACGCAAATTGAACCATGTCAACTGCATAGCTTATATCGAAATAGTGAATGTCTACAGACTTATTTCAAAATAGCAGCACTCTTCTTCCGACTTCTCTTACTCTTTGTACAATGAGGGTTACAGGAGTCAGAGGGTGTGTCTAGACTACAGAATTATTTCGAAAAAAGTGGCCTTTTTTGAAAAAATGTCCCCTGCGTCTAGACTGCTGCTGTGTTCTTTCGAAAGTAAATAGAAAAAAGTGGCAGTTTTTTCGATTGCTGAAAAACCTCGTTTTACGAAGAAGAATGCCTTTTTTTGAAAGTGCTCTTTCGAAAAAAGGTGCTATGTAATGCAAGCTGTGTTTTTTCAAACGAGAGCGTCCAGACCGCCTGGGTGCTCTCTTTCAAAAAAGTGGCTTGCTTTTTCGAAAGTACTGGTTGTAGTCTAGATGCTCTTTTTTGAAAAAGGCTCTTTCAAAAGAGGCTTGCAGTCTAGACATAACCTGAATAGGAAGTCCTCCAGCTTGACAGTATTTCAACATTATTTCAAAATAACTGCCTGCTATGAAGACGTGGATTAAGTTATTTCGAATTAATGTTAGTTATTTTGAAATAATGTTGCTGTGTAGATGTACCCTTATTGAAACAAGTGAGGGTAGAGGAATAATAAATATCTCAAATTGATACATAGTTTTTATGTATCAATTTGAATAGAGTATTTTATGTATCAATATGAATAGAGTATTTTACTGAAGGCAATGGCAGATCTTAATATAGAACACGTAAGAAAAAATATTATGAAAAACATGAAAGCTAAATTTATCTTAGGCTTCAGAGTGGTAGCGGAGTTAGTCTGTAACAAGAAAAAACTTAAAGAACAACAAATAGTCTAGTAACACCTTAAAGACTAACAAAACATGTAGAGGGTATCATAAATTTGTTTTCCTAGGGAAACTTAGAATTTAGAGACATGTTAATCATCTTTTTGTGCCAGCTTTATTTTGCCCTAGGCCCAAGCCATGTGTCTTACATTTAGTCTTTTTATTTTTCTTTTTTTTTCAGAAATACTGTTGTTTTGGTGATGTTATGTAATGCTTTGGCTCGAGGCCTAATTCTTTGTTGGATTCCGGTTTTGAAGATTGATGAGAAGAAAAAGATAGATGCAGCAACAGACAAAAGTAAAAGGGCTTCAATAAGGGGGATTGAAAAAACAAACATTGTCCAACCTTTTTCAGTGGATCCAAATGGATTCCCTGATATTAAAGCAGCCTTAGAGGTACAAAGTTCTAATTACTCTGTTTCCTATCAAACCTCATTATTGGGGGTGGGGTTAATTCTCCCCACCATATGCACACACAGACATAGACTCATAGACTTTAAGGTCAGAAGGGACCATTATGATCATCTAGTCTGACCCCCTGCACAGTGCAGGCCACAGAATCTCACCCACCCCTCTTAGAATAATCCTCTCACCTATATCTCAGATATTGAAGCCTTCAAATACTTTGAAGGCCCCAAGATGCAGAGAATCCTCCAGCTGTGATCTGTGCCCCATGCTACAGAGGAAGGCAAAAAATCTCCAGCGCCTCTGCCAATCTACCCTGGAGGAAAATTCCTTCCCGGCCCCAAAAATGGCAATCAGCTAAACCCTGAGCATGTGGGCAAGACTCA